AATACAGCCCCTGGTGGGGGGCTATGAATCCATTGCACTCCCCCTTCTAACAGAGGCCAAACTCTACCTTTCACAACTCCTCCACATTCCTCAAAGGACGTGATCTCCAGGAAAGTGAGATTCTTGTGTGAAATTTTGTTGAAACAGAGCCTCACTATGTAGCCCAGGCTGGCCTTGATCATGGTGATCCTCCTGTCTCAGCCTCCCAACTGCTGCAATTAGAGGCATGCACCACCATGCCCAGCTGTGTGAATTTTATCAGGCGGAAGTTGGCTGAGTTGCTGTTGAGGGGAAAATGAGTGAGTGGATCACTGAAAAATTACAATTGGAAGTAAAGCTCTGCTGATTTTAGTTCTAGAAAGTTTAGTGCTCCTGGCCCCTGGTCCTCACCCTGATCAGAGGGATCCTCGCGGGAGCAGGCTTCCTCCTCACCTAGGCCTCGCCTGGATCTACTACACTGGGTGAGCAGGAAAACCCCACTTCAGGGGGCCCTACCATAGGTCCCCAAGTCCTAAGGGGGGGCTGAGATCTCCTGCCCTACCTAGTTAGAATTAAAGGGGCCAACCTGGATCCGAGACCTGTTGGTTCTGCAGGCCCCGGCGGTGGCCAGAGGCGCAGGGCTGTGAGGCCTCAGTGAGATCGCTGCTTCTCCACTCCAGAGACTCGGAGGGAGACTTGCCTGGACTCACACTGCTGGCGACCATCTGTGCACCTCCCAGTCCTGTTCCCCTGTCCCAAGCCCAGCCCTGCCATGAGGGACCAACCTTAGGGACTTGTTTCCCTCCACTCCAATGTCACCTTGTTGACACCCACTGTCTTGTAACTCACACCTTAGTTCCTGCTGCACATCAGCTTCACTCTCTTTCCCCCATAAATCTGTGCTTTCAGATGGTCACTTAGGGTGGGCAGAGCAAAGCCCAGGTTTCCCAGGGTCACAAATGTGAATGAGGGCCCTCCTGCACCCGGGGACAGGAATCCCCATCCATGACCACAGCGATGCTAAGCAGCCCAGCTCCTGCTGGGTCTCTGGCTCCACTGCAGCTGCCCCTTCTGTGCACCCAGGATGGCAGCGTGGACCTGCAGAGCATGATGTGTCTGGCCTCTCAGGCTCTCAGCGTCAGGGGCTCCTGTCCTCACGGAGAGAGTTGGAACACAGCCCAGGAGACTTTGCTGGTGCTATTTCATTACTGTCTATGTTAGTCTGCTTTCCCCAGAGAAACAGAACTCAAGTGCTGTGATTTTAGGGTTTTCCCCAAAAACCTATGTGTTGGAAACTTAACCCCTAAAGTTGTTGGAGGTGGCGACCTTGGGAGGGAATTAGGTATGGATGGGGCTGTGGGCTCCAGGCCCTGCCATGGCATTAGGGGGTTTACAAGGAGAGGAGCAGAGACCCCAGCTGGATGCTGGCTCTGACTCATCATATGATGGCTTTTGCTGTTACACTGCAGCAGAAGGACCTCACCAATGTCCAGCAGATGCTGAGTCACGCTCTTTGACCTCCCATCCTCCACAGCTGTGAGCCAAATACACTTCTACTCATTGTAAATTACCAGCCTCCGGTTGTTTGTTATAGCACCAGAAATAATATATGTATAGTCTTTGTCACACATCACACACACACACACACAGGCACTGGGCATGGTGAGTGCTGAGATGAGCCTTATCCTGCCCCTTACCCTGAGGAGACAGAACTCCTGTGAATAGACAGATGACCCTAGGTGACAGGGCACAGGACTGTAGGACAGCATCTTAGTAAGGGAGAAAGATTAGGAATGTCATTTTCCTGGGTGATTTGCAGGTCACTGTACATTTCACTCAGGGCCACCTGTGACCACCTGGGCCACCAGTCCTTATACCACAACCCAGCAACCCCTGCTCTTACTGACTGACCCCAACTGCCCTCCTTTGTGCCCAGCAGATGTCACACGTGCAGCCCAGTGAAGGCCACCATCTCAGTGCAACTATCTGGAAAAGCCCAGGGCAAAGGTATCAGTGAAGCCCCCTGGCTGGGGCCCAGCTGGTTTGCAGCAGGTTGCGATGCAGTGAAGTGTTTGGGGTGCTCTGACGTGCAGCAACGCAGCACTGAAACAGTGGCCCACACAGGCCCCAGCTAATAGGGAGAAGGCAAAATCGGAAGTCCACTTGTCTAACCAACTTTGCTACCTTCGGTATTACAAGGATTATTTTAAATGGCAATTCCGAGTCTTCTGTGAGGACCCTGTGAAGCTCTGGGTTCTATCCACAGCCAGGCTGGAGCTGCACTTCCAGATTCCTGTCCCTGTACGTTTCTGGGTTAGAGGTGGCCACGAGAGAAAGAAGTTAAATAAGTCACAAGACCGAGGGTCAGCAGGGCCCGGGGCTACGGCGGCTTTCGCAGATCCCTGCTGCGTCGTGTACTC